TTTGCCTCCCTGGCCCCGTGCACGAGTTCGGTGTAAGGAACTCAGTACCTGCAGTGTACCACAACTGGACCAGCGTCAGGGGGGTTGCAGGTTTTCACCCGTCTCAGAAAAGCCAGGAATGGGGTGGGGTACTCGGGTACGCCGTGGTCAGGCCACGCCGTGAACTGGAACTGGCGGACCTCCCGCTTCTCACTGGAGCCATTCTGCAAAGACGAAAGAGCACCAAGAGTAACGTGAGGTACCAGCTGTACCCTGCCAGTGCACGGAGTGCGTGGCGTGGCCCATCTCCGGGGAAAAAACGAGCGGGAGAAAGCTCACCTTATGGAGGGAGAACGTTCGAACGCAGAAGGTGGCCAATTCAATGGTGTCGAGTAACGTCACTTGAATCATTCCATAGGTGTCTGTACCTCGGCCTGGCCAGTACTGGTCACACTTGATCTGGAAGACAGGAGGCATCACAAATCGCTGGAACAAAGCCTGTGCTGCAGGGGAAGCTCATTCCAGAACTGCCAGATGAAGCTGGCCAGGTTGAAAAGGGGAGGGAAGGTGCAAGAAATGTCTTTTCAGAGCACCACGACAGGGACAGACCAGGCTTGAAAAGCTCCTACTAAGCACAGGCTTTGATGCCCCACATCAATCTTGTAGACAATAGACTGGAATGATCCTGAAGATTAGAGTGGATGTACTGGGGCTTGTTAAACAAGAGAACTGACTGTGAAACTTGCCACATGATTAACTCTGAGACAGACCTACAAAGCATGCAGTGGGATTGAGTGTCCTCTTCTCTTGGAGTTGCAAAGAAGGCTGCAGCTTTCCAGGATGAAGGGTTTGGTTTTTTAAAAAGCAATGAATCACTTGAACTTTCAGGGTGCTGGCAAAGCAGGCAGCAATCCCCCACTGACATACATGTGGGCTGCAGATCAAAGGCATTTGCTGTTCCCCAACCCTACCCTCCAATCCTCCAGGATTATGACTAAGTAGTCATCCCTCTTACCCGTGATTTCTCCTCCAGCTTAGTCATCATAACAATAGTAGCTGAACGCTGCTCCCACACCATCCTCCAGAAATCTCCGAAGGTCTCCGGCAGAGGCCCCTGCGTGGCGATGTAGGCATTCTGCTTCCGGTAGCCATCGATGTAGTTGGCGTTGATGTAATCGCTGCCCACGATTCCTGTATTAAATCAGCAAAACCAAGTTAGTGGATTGCACAGGACCTTACGTAGCTGGAAGCATGAGGAGATCTTTACAGGGATGTTGTTAGAGGTAATTCCCCTGCAAAAACACCAGAGCCTTCGTGGCTTGGTGGGTCAGAATCACAGCTGGGGGTAACAGGCTCTTGGCAAGTTCTCCCCAGCTAAAGCTCCTGCCTTGAAGGTCTGTGTTGCAGGGAGGCAAATAACTTCTTGCAAGAGATATTAAAGAGACTGAATATCGAGTCTTGAAACCACGGGTTTCTTACTGGTATTGCCAATAGGAGCAAAAGTCCTGGCCTAAGGCCTCACTGGTCTCAGACAGGACAAAGACAAGTCCTTGTCCCAGAACGCCCAGAGTCTGGGCAGCAAACGCACCCGGGCGACGCACTGCGTGGTCCAGAGTCTAATCTCGGGCAGTGAGCTACAGCTGGACAAGGTGAGGAATAAACCCAGGCTTCATTCAGGCAGTAAAGGCTTTGAAAGTACAGGCTTTGACTTGCTCTAAATCGTCCGCTGTCATTTTTAGGAGTGCTTTTATTTTTTTCCTATTTACATGAGTTACAGGCTATTGAGTTTCAGCTGCTTGCCCGTGTCCTTGCTTGAGGGGTCCAATACGAGCGGCAGGAGGTGCTGCCAGAGCCAAGAGGGTGATGGGGACATGGCAGGAGAAAACCACTCCAAAGTGCAAACGGACACTGGCAAGCACGGATGTTCAGGTTCAGCTCTGGAGAGCCTCTGAGCTTGGCACGAGGGACCCGCGCGGGTTGGCCCGTTCCTAATTACAGCGGAGCGGCTGGCGAGGCTGGCAGGTTCTGCCACCCTGTGATTAACTCGGTGCAGAACACTTAACTCCTGTCTCGAGGGGGAGCCCAGAGTGGGAGCAGCACCAATATGAAATTGGGCTGCTCGTCCTCATCCCGCTGTAGCGACAGACATTGCCGCTGCTGGCGCGGTGCAACCCGTGCCGAATTGCCTGCCAGTCCTCAAGGGTACTCGGTAATTTCAGCTGCTGGTAGAAATGGCTTTTGATTAAATTTCTGGAGGGTTCCCTGCCCCCATTCCTTCCCAATCTGAAATTTCAGGAGGGAAGGCATCTGTGCAGCAGCAGGAGGAACGTGATCAAGGCTGAGCTTCTGGAATTAATCTCCTCTCCAGCCCCCTCAGGTCCACTCTGTAATTTGGAATGGTGGCCATGAGCTCCCGCGACGTTTCGCCGTGTGACAGGCCTGGGTACAGGGAAGTCACAGCATTAAAGCCACTACTTCTTCCCGACCAAGCAGACAGTGACAATCTGCAGCCTTGACAAATCCAGATTTAAAACAAAGAGAAAGCAACAACTAATTCCTCCAACCCCCTTTCATCTTCCAGCCCTCAGCATAAAATACAGCCTGGTAGGACGGAAGGAAGGAAGGAACACACCAGCCAACGCATGTCAGAACCTCTCAGACGCTTGAAAATGAAACCATGGACCATTACACTCGCACCACTGGTCCCTCCCGATGCCACCTGGGCAAAGCTGGGACTGCTGCCCGCATCCAGCCCTGCACGTCTGCTTTCCTAAGAGCCGACATCAGCCCAAAGTGTCCTTCAGTTCTACACTGTGATCTTCTCTTTCCCCTTGAATGACAAAGCAACTTTTTAAAGACACTGCTTTCCTGGGCTCATTCAATATTAATCTCAGAAGAAAAACAAGCCAGAACACAGTCATCTTCAGAATGAGAAATGCTGAAAATCCTCTAATGGCAGACAAGGCCAGTCCAGATTTGTGCAGCTTTTTGGCAAATCTCCATGATCTGTTGTTACCTCAGGACCACCTCTTCCACCTCCCCGCGGTCCTCGGAGCTACCTTGGCAGAACGAGATTATTCTAGCGATTCCCTTGTCACGAAGGCTTCTGAATTACCCTTTACATTCACCAGGGGGTTATTAGGACATCCCATATCCTCTCTGCTCAGATGATCAGCTCTTGGCAACGCAAGAACGGCCTGAAATGCTTTACCTGTACAGCACAGCCACACACAGCCCGAGACGACAAGACTCAAGTATCATCTTGGCAGCGGCAACCAAAGCAGGTGCCCTGTTCAACTCCATCTCCCCTCCACCGAAAGCCCCTCGTATCCCAGTGTGCACCAGAGCAACTCTGTCAAGAGCCACGAGTTGTGAAATGTAATGCAGATTTTCTGACTGCACCATCACTCACAAAAGGAGCTCAGGAAACAATTTACGACCTACCAGGCTGACACTAACCCCGTCTTATTCTTCGCCTTTTAGGGGCCAGGACTGCAGCAGGAGCTGCATATCAAGTCATCTTTACATCTGAACAACTCAGCAGCCACATCTTTGTGATGTTGCTGACACTCACACATGTACAATTAGCCCCGTGCTTCCTTCTCATTCATCCGCCGTACAGACACGCTCCGCATCCGCTGCCACCCACTGCCCTGTTCCCGCGCTCTCCAAAGCACGATGCGGTCTGAATTCTTCCCGTTAGTCAGCGAACGTATCGAGCAGGGATCTCCAAAGAAAGGGAAGACAGTTTCTTGATAAACCAGCCCTTGAAATGAGAGATTGCAGCTCCGGGGAATACGTCAGTCACCAGATTTTAACAAATGCCTGGTTGACAGAGGTATCTCCCGCTTGCTAAACTCCCAGGGAGGTGCCAAGAGAAGAATGTAAATAGAGGGTAAGAGGGAAGGGAGAAGAGCACGTGGGACACGTTTCCCTGCAGCACCTTCAGCCCAGCGCTCACACGTCGGAGCAGAGATGCCACGGTACCTTCGATGGGCAGCAGGATGACGCGCGAGTGGTCGTAGGCAATCACGTTCGCGTAACGGTTTTTGGGCTTGTTCACTTCGAGGTTGGAGTGCTCCCAGGTGAACTGCTGGCCGGGGTCAATGGACTGGAGGAATCAGGAAAGAAAACAGAAGAGTCAGAGAGGGGAAGAGCAGCAGGTCAAGCTCCGAATACCTTGTTCCGCGTGGGACAGATCCTGGCTCTGAAGATCTAGCTGAGGAACGCAGCGTTCGCTGTTTGCTTCCCTCAAGAACCAATCTTTGCTGGGGGAAAGCCCCAGCCCGGTGGCACTGGGTGCTCACGTCCCATCTCCCTTGGCCCAGAGTGGTACCTGGCATGAAGCCGTGCTACCCGGTGGCAAAAGCATCAGCGCAATTCCAGGCTGCAACACAGAGGCCTTGGATGGTGCTTGTGCCGAGGCTGCACTGCGTTAGTTACAGCCCCGCGCCAGGCACTGACAAACGGCCGGCAATTGGGAGAGAACAACAGGAACAATCGCATCAGGATGTATTTATGAAATGATGGAGAGGCTAAATCTGTGTATGGTTAAACTAAACAACCATTAAGAGGGCATAAATATACCAGCGTCTTGGTGAATACTAATACCTGGGGAAGAAGATATTTAAGCTGGGACAAGGTTTATAACCACGTGTGCAAGCGGGATATGAAATATCAGGGAGAAAACTTGCTGTCACGGGCAGGGGGAAGGGACCAGGCTGCTTTACACAGAGCAGAGACAGCAAAGACTCAGTGCCAAAGGTCTCCCAGGAGCGAAAGGGGAGCCTGGCAGGGACAGGCACCCGCCTGCCCAGCAGGGACAGGGAGCAGACCCCGGGCAAAGCAGGGGTACGGACCCTGGCTCTAAGAAACTGTGCCAACAGGGCTTTTTCCTAGAAGGGATGAAGGAGTGAACAATGAAATGCACTGGCGAGAAAAATCCTCTCTGCCTGTCCTGGTGATTTATGCCAGGTTTGGTGGTTGGTTGTGTGTTTTGTTTTTTTTTTTCCTCCTAAAGTCCAGCTGTCCCAGATATGGAAATTAGGTTAATTACGTTTACCTCTAAATCCTCAGCCAGAGAATTAAATAAAACAAGGGCTTAATTCCTTCATCATTTTGCAGAGCCCTAGGGGTTTGCCTCAATCGGAGCCTTGGCAGGAGCGTGCGGAATTGTTTCCCGCTGTTCGCTCTCCCTCTCCCTGCTGCTCCTGGCCGGAGGGGGCAGGGGG